TAACTATGTGAGTGTGCTCACACAAAAAAATATGTTTGAGTCCTCAAACAAAGGCTTGACATAGGCAAAATTGTGAAGTGGATAGTTTTTGGATAGTTTTTGGACAGTCATCCATCAGTTTGATTGTTAATGTCTCATAATCAACTTTATGGGAAAAAAATCTATACTTAATTTGCATATTACTTACATTAAAGATGCATAATACACACAATATGCAACAATAAAATATACAGAAATCTTTAATAAAAATTCTCTATAGAAAATTGATTATCACAAAATTTTTGAGCTGATTTTTGTTGCTCTGTAAACAATCTAAGTAGATAAGTGATTAAGGAGCACAGGTACAAGTGAATTGTTGGCTGATCGTTTTTGTTATGTTACGGAAGTGTAACAGTAGAGATATATTTTAATTTTCAGAATTATTACTGACTTACTGAGTTGAATAGAAGTTTTTTTAATGCTGGAGTAATATTTCTTCAATATTTTTGTACTATTCACAATATAGCAGCTCTAGCCTTGGTGGAGTTTTAAATTTAATCTACATTTTTTATCCATTAAAATCTTGTCAGTAGTGGACAATCAACAAAACAATAAACCGTGCCCTGAGTCACTGTGTTTACCAGTTTTCATGACATGATTCCCATGATGGCCAAATTCATATTGCCACCAAAATGTCACTGACTATCAATTTGGGACAAGATTCACATGTGAGTACTACAGTATTATATAGTGTAAATGCGAGAGGGAAATTTGAGGTGTGATTTATGAAAATAATAGAAATCTATTCCTTGAAATAGTGCATTGCTGCTCTCTAGTAGCAATCAGTAACTTCTCTTTTTATTAGTATAGTATTTTCATAAACTTCCAGAGAACTATAATTTTTTTTTTTTTTTTTTTTTTTTATTGCAAGGCAGGCCACCGAACCGCTGAGCTAAATCCCCAGCCTGACTTTCTGATTTTTTTATTACATTTAATTATTATAGTTCTTTAGGACTGGGGATTTAGCTCAGCGGTTCGGTGGCCTGCCTTGCAAGCACAAGGACCCGAGTTCAATCCCCGGTACCAAAAAAAAACAAAAACAAAAACAAAAAAACCCAGAAAGTCAAGAGTTTTGAGTATCACTTTTGTTTTTTACATAATTTAATAGTAAGTTTTTAAAATGATGGTTTAAAAATTGCCTCTCAAATTTTACAAAATTAAATAGTTGACTCTCATGAATGGTCCAAGACAGCTCCAACAGCGTGCTGTTTGTATCAGGCAATGTTTTCTCCATTAAACCCATTTTTTCTCTCCTGTGATCATTTTCTTCCAGGTACCCACACAACTATGCTCTTCCTTTGCAGCAAACCCTGTAACATTTCTTCTTCCATAATGTTTCTTTCCACCTGCTCTGTCTTTCTACCACCTGATTTTAACTTTGTAACATTAGAAAGAATATTAAAACAACTTACAGTACAATAGCATGTCCAAGACAGCTAGTTATGTCTGATGCAATAGTATTCCAAATAACTGAATCTCTAGGGTGAAACTTTACGTTGTTAATTTGTACATCAGGGGATAGAGGTGTTTCTGGACAGATTATTCAGATTACGTCAAGTAGTTGATAAAGATATTTTTGTAATCAGTATGTCCTAGCCTAGTTAGAATAGCTATAAGCAGCTTTTTCATAATTGTGGAATTACCACTCAAAGGAAATAATTATTAACCTTCTCTGTATTGATATGGTCTAGAAGCTACCATTTCCAGAGTTCCCCTTCTCTGTTCTTTGTGGTTTAGTGGTTATAAACTGTTTCTCTGAGAATGCCACACTCCCTTTGGCCTCCCAAGTATTTGCTCAAATATCTGTCTACCTAGAGTGTCCTTCACACTCTCTGATTGCCTTCCTGCATCCCAGTTTAGCCTGCCCAGTCACTTATCTTCACCACTTTGCTGAATTTCATGAAGGCTGGGAAATCTGCCATTTTCTTTAGCATTAATATTTTTCAAAACTCAGAATGTTGCCTAGTACTTTGTTCGCTCTCAGCAACTACTGTTTAAGTGCAATGTAGATGACACAGAAGAAGAAAAAAGAGAACACTGCGATGTGAATATGCTGGTTATTTATTTCTTCGAGCATCATTTTGAAGTAAGAAGGTACATGTACTGGACTGATTTTGATTGGATGAGCAACTAGTTATCAATAAACTGCTGCAGCAGCCCAGTTTACTGGAATATCACCTCCTACATTCCTGAAAATCCCCAGGAGATGCAAAAAGTTGTTGAAAAAACATGCCTAATTATACAAGCTTGCAAAGAAACATCTCTAGTTGCTAGAATGTAATTGGAAATTTGCCTGCCTTCTTCCTTCAGCTTGAGAAATTCACATATTCCACATACAATTATGACAATAATCTTTTCGCCATGGTTTGCCAGGAATAGAGTAGCTACAAATCCTCTGTAGTAACTGTGAGCCAAATGGGAAAATGAACAAAATCTGGAGAAAACTTCCTGACTTTCCAACCCAATATACTTAATTTGTGGATAAGAAGTTATGACACATTACATCATCTGTCAGAAACACTGCTTGATTTGAGTCCCAGTTCCAGTAATCATAACCAGAAAAGAAAAAAAATATATATATATATATATGATGCTTTTGACCAGAGCAAGTAAAGAAAGGTTAGGTATTCCTTTCAGATTGTTTTCAGGGAACAAATCTAAAATTGAAGCCATTCTTCCCTCCCCTCTGACAGTATTAAAACCTAAGGAAAGAAGAACACAGCATTAAATGCTATTACTCTGTAGCTAGTACAAAAGGAGAGGGATTTGCATTAGTACAAGTGCTAAGAGTTGAGCTTCAGGCAAGGAAAGATCATTATTTATAACAAGCTGATCTGCTTCTATATGATTAACGGAAGAACAGTGAATTAATGTTGTTATCTTAATATTGTTTAAATGGCCTCTAGAAGTGATGTGGAGCGGTGCCAGGTGGAATGGTTAACACAAAATAAATGTCAATCCAGGAGAGATTTCTGGGAAGCGTTTTCACCCGCAGTAGAATTTGCTTAATTAATGGCCTAAAAATGATAAGCTCTGATAAGCCTCTGGTGTATAGTCTTATTTTATTTGGGGAAACGGGACACAGCCCTATTTAATGGCATTTTCTTCAGAGACTGGTAGAACTGGTAAGCTTCGGGATAATTATCAGCCATTTTAATGATTTCTTCTTTTGAAAATGTAGTTCATGCCCTAGGTTATCTGGGGAAATGGATGAGGAATATATGAAACTAGAATGGTAGTGTTTCATTATCTGTAACTTTAACTGTCTGTTTGAATAGGATGTTAGATTCTTAAGGCACAAACAACAAGATTTTCAGTATCTTTAAAATAAGGCTTCAGTAAATGACTACTTGAGAGTTCTGCATCCATAACAGGAAAACTTAGTGCTGCAGTGGGCTTAAAAATGGGACTTTGCTACTAATTATTTTGAGACTTGGAATCACCTCTATCAAGTGGGATAAGTAGGAGCTCACATTTCAGTGATCTGGTTCCAGTTTTCAGAGAAAGCTTTGGGTATGAGAAACCCTTATTTGTTTTTTAGGGGATAGTTTCATTCTGTCTTAAAAATCAACTACATGCGGTAAATTTGTAGATGCAGGGCAAACTGAAGGTAGAGATGTATACATAAGAAATATTTGAGATTTAAACTCAGGAAAATTGTATTCTGACCCAAACGTCAGCATTTGGGATATCTATAAATGAGTTGGGGATGTCTCTACCCAAATATTCCCTGAAGTTTACAGTGTAGGGCAGAGAAGACACTGATCCCTTCCTGCCCATCTAAAGGGTAATGGCCTGTAACAAGACAGGGTAACAAAACTATAACAGATTTACTTGACCAGAGCTTTCTATGACACTGAAGGCAAAGACAGGATGAACTGTTTTTTCTATGCTTAGGTTCAGTAAAACACTGATAACAGTGAGGAAATGACTTCATAACAAAGGTGTGACCTAATACAACTGGCAAGAATAGGGCAGCCTAGCAAGTCCTGACTATTCAAATTTTTCTTTGCTCTCCAGTTGTAGCATTTCTACTTCCTGAGTATGGGGCAGGTGCCCTCTGGAATTGGGTCTGCAGTTCTTTATGGCCAAGTGTCAAACAGAAAACTAGCTCTTGACAAAAGAAGTTCTAGTTTCTGACCCACCTTGGAGAAGATGAATTCTAGTTTCTATGGCTTCTCTATGGGAAAAATGTGTACATACAGGAAAAGAGAAGAAAGTCCAAGAGAAACTTTACTGCTGAAGACTTCACTTTGAAGTGTTATTTTGAGACCTAACTACTATAGTATGGGATATGTGAAAGAGTCTCACATTTTTCTAACAGATCTTTTTACATACTATGTTATATTTTGATCTTGTGTGTCCCCAAAAGGTCCACATGTTTAAGGCTTGGTCCCTAGGAGGCGCTATCGGGAGGTGGTAGAACCTTTAAAAGCTGATCCCTGAGTACATTTTCAGGCCATTGGCCAGGGTCTCTGCCAGGGACTGTGGAATACCGACTCTTTCCTCTTCCATTGTCTTTCCTCTGTGACTTGCTAGTAGATGAGCAACTTTGCTTACTCACTCCCTGTCACCATGATGTGCCACCTTGCAACAGGCCCCGAAACAGCAAGGCCAACTGATTATGGACCATGGTCTCCAAAACAACTAAATCTTTCTCTTTATAAATTGATTACCTCAAGTATTTGTTAGCGTGGCAGAAAGTTTACTAACAGTTAAATTAGTGGGTAAACAATGGACGGCCATGGGTCATGCCCAGTAAAATCCCCTTCATTTTACTCTGTTGTACTTAAGCAGCAGTAGGGAGATTGGAAAGTCTCTGCACCTCAATAAGGGTTTTTACTTTTTACGAAATTGTTATTGCCTTTATGCTTATGTCCTAGGCTTTGATGCCAACTGCTTGCTAACTTTTTTAACTTTTTTGATTTCCTTCCCACCAGTATATCTTCTTTTCTCTCTAGGAAGACTACTCTACAGGAAGATTATTCAATATGTATTTTGAATCCTGCAGTCATTGATAACACAGCAATTGTTAGAAAGTGACCATGAAATGACCTGGAAATGGTATTACGGTTGAAGAAAAAGAAATCCTTTAATAATCCTGTAATGTCTCCTAATGATCCTATATTTTCACATCGCCACATGTACTTTCATATTTTTATTGCTTGCTTATTAAATTTTTAATTATTAATTTCATTGGGTTTGAGAAATAGATTTTGGAATTTCTAGTTCCCTGTTGCGGTAGTTCTATTGCAAAGTATGTCTCTATTCTTAGTGACCACTTATCAATAATAAGAAATCAATTTGGAAATTCTACAAGAGAGTCAATTCAGTTTCCAATTTGGTTAACCTTTTTAAATGTGTACCCAAACATAAAGTTTATGCTTTTCTTGCATTATCTCACCAAGAATTGTCCAAGAAATAGAAGAACATCAAAGAAAGTATTAAGGTTAAGAGAGTCATACATGAAAAGTGATAAATTTACTTTATTGCAGGAATTTTCAGAATCCTTATGTGTCTATGAACACTGTAAAGCACACAGAGAGAATACAGATGCTACATAAAATAAAACTTCTTGATTACAGGACAGTTTTCTCATATAGTTTCTTGTCAGGCCAGCACTTCACAGAATTCACTTTGGGGAACTGAACTTCACTGCAAGATGTCTAGTAAAACTGAACATAACCAGGCTGTACTGAACAGCAGGAAAGATATTCTGTATACACTCACCCCTTCTAAGACACCACAGGATTGTTAAACTTACACATGTGATAAGTTGAACTATGTTCCCTACAAAGACGTGTTGAAGTCATAACTCTGATAACTGTGACCTTATGTGTAAATATGATCTTTTCAGATGTCATGAGCAAGTGATTCCAATGTGACTCTGCCCTTAGAAGAAGAGAGAACATTTGGACTGACACAAGGGGAATACAATACAGGGCTATTTAGGCAGAAAGCCATCTGCAGACAAAAGCATCAACTAGAGTGATATATCTACAAACCACGGGATGTTAAAGAGTCTGTATTCTTTTAAGGCTAGTAGACAAGAATGGAACATTCTCCCACACAGCCCTTGGAAGGAATCAACTTGGTTCACAACCTGATTTCAGACCCAGCAGGTAAACTGCGAAAAAATAAATTCCTGTTTGAAGCCACACAATTTCTCATTTTTATATGGTGATCCTAGCAAACTTTGGATTTAGGTAATAGGTAGAAACTATAAGAGTTTTGAGGCACTTAATAGAAAGAGCTTGGATCATCCTAAAGAGACTTCTGGTAGAAATAGGCACTTTAGCTGGGGATTTAGCTCAGTGGTCCGCAGCCTGCCTTGCAAGATCAAGGTCCCAAGTTCGATCCCTCGGGGGTGGGGGGCGGAAGGCACTTTGAAGGCCATTTTTGAATTCTCAGATGGAAAAGAGGAACAATATCATTGGAAACTGAAGAAAAGATAATCCTACTTGTGAAGCAGCAAGAATTTGTGTGAATTCTACTGAGGGGAAAAAACTAAAACTTGTCAGTGATGAACTTAGATATCACACAGAGCTATTACTATGCAAAATGTAGAAAATACAGCCTGGTTACCATTGTTGCTTTTAGTATAAATGAGACAAGAGATGTATTAAAGAAGGTATTCTGCCTGGAGACTGTCATGTGGTCAAATAATCAGGTTTATCACAGATCATATCCATTTCCCATTACCACAATGTAACCTCACAAGGACAGTGATCCTAGGCTGTTCTGTTCATTTACTGGTATTTCTTAAATGCCCAGATACTCAAAGATGTTCTGCAACTGTTGAAACAATGGATGAAACTAATGTGTGAGGCTCAAATTATTAAATTTTGTCCACCAATTGGCATGCTGATTTTTTCTGATTAATTTACAGAAACATATATTTATTTAGTTATTGCCCCTACAAATAAAAATAATTTACATGAACTCAATGATAACTGTTTTTATAACAGATACAGACAGACATAAAACAAGAAGCTGAAATTAATCACCTAATAATGAGACTTAAAATAGGGACTTTTCTTTGAAGGAAAACCATTAAGTAGTTTGAGAAATAAGAAAGCATATTGAGATGCAAATTCAAGCCCACATATGAAATTGATTCTCAAGTAAGGTCTTAGCATTTTATTCCTAGAATGAGATTTGGTAACAGCTGGGTTGACTTTAATAGCATAAATCCTATAAACACTAATAGCAAACAAAATATCCAAGCTTCCACACACTATATTAAAGTAATAAAAAATGATGGCTGTCTTTATTCTTAAGTTAATTAAACTGTCACCTAAATCCTTATTGTTTTGAAAATGCCACATAAAATGATATGGACTGTATATGAGCAGTTCAATATGTTAAGCAATGAGAACAATAACCAAATTGACTTTTTCACCCTCATTCCCTTCTTGGAAGGTTTTCCAAATGACATATTTACTCTTTCACGAATAGCTGAAACTCTAGAATCAATCCACTGCAAATTTTGTGTTCTTGACTGTTATATTTGTGTATATCCCATTTTCTTAGAGCTATCTTTAAATTAGTCATGGAAAGGAAAGATTCTGTAGAACTCAAAAGAATAAAACTTGTTATATATTTAATTCACATAAAAATGCCTATTTCATCTGGGTGTGGTAACACATGTCTGTAATCCCTGCACTCTGGGAGGCTGCGGCAGGACTGCAATTTCAGTGCAACACAGGCAGTTTAGTAACACAGTGAAACACTCTCTTATCTATTTTCTCTCACTCTATTTTTCTTCCTTACTCACTACCTTATGTATGAACTATCTAGTAAAAGCTCTTGAATTGTCACTTTAGAATTTGCTGCCTTCTTTTTTCCTAGTCTTTGTCACTTCCGAATTTCAAAGGGAATTTCTTTCCCCAGTTCTTTGCTTAGACAATCAGCCTCATTCTTCAAATTCTTGCACAAAAATTGATATGCCTCCCCCAGCTCCTGAAGGTAGTGCTATTAAGTTCCTCCTTTTCTTCTATTTTATTTTAGCACTTGGTTTACATCTCTAGGGGGCTGTCTTCTCCATTCGATTATGCATTCTTCAAGGCAAGAACTGTGTCATTTTTATACAACTCTCTCTACTGCTTTGAACAGAATTTGACATAACTGAGGTCTTCAATAAGTATATAACAAACAGAAGAAGATTGGGGAGCAAACAAGATCAACACTGTTGCTACCTGTGCTATTGCTGCTCTCTATCGAATCATAATGGAAAATAAACAGACAGATTCACATGACTACTCTTATTCTCCCCTATATAATTTCAAAGGTCTAATGTAATGGTGAGGCATCATTTGGAGGGGCCACAGGATAGGATTGGACTTGTTAGCTTTTGAAATAATTTTTAGAATCAATATGGTTGTTTTATTTCTATACAAGTTTATCAGGATTTCTCAGTTATTAACATTTTCCTCTGTAAGCCTTTTCTTCGTTTTCTCTCATAAGGTAATGGTAAGAGAAGATGAGTTTTCTTCTTCAGATAACACAAGAGGAGTTATCCTATAATAAGTGTGCAAATAAATTATACAATAGTAGTGGATTAACAAGATAGGAAAAGCAGAAAAAAATATAGCCTTTGCAAAAAATAAACACTTTTTTATCTTTTGCCATTTTTATTTGACTTTCTAATGTAAAATTTTAAACAAAAATGTTCTAGTATAAAAACTTCTATGTATCACATAGTTAGCTTTAACAGTCATCAGTGTTTTGTCCTATCTTAATTTTTTAATATAAGCAAAAGAAAAGTAAAAACAAACAGGTTTAAAAGGTACAATTAATAGCTTTATAGGGTGTCTGAGGTATTTTTCAAGAAAAATATGCTATAGACATATATTAAAGCAAGAAATACCATTGGTCCATTGAATTGAGAAGCAGAAGAGACAAAGCTTACAAAAGGCTTAAGGAGTACTGCTGTGTCTTTGCCTTGTTCAGTGACCCAGGGTGCATGGACCCCAGGGCATGCTATTGTTTTGAGTCTTGCAGAATGCAGAGAAAGGACTTGTCCTTAAATTGGAAATGACTGTGCCTTCTGGTTACAGCCTTCCACAAATTAGAGGTTACAATAATTATAACAAGAGGCATCTGAGTCCTAGTTCCTTCCCCAGATTCCTCTTAAAGTGAGATATTCTCTCTGCCTTGAATTCATTAAAATCTATTAATTTCAACATAAAAAGTATTTAATGCCTTTTATGTGTAAGACAAAGTAAACCATTTTTGTTACTCACTCTTAGCTCTACTTATTAAACATGTACTGAGCTCCTCCTATATTTTTCTGAACATAGGCAAAATTTTAAGTGACCAAAACTAAACTAGAAATAAGAACTAAATGCCATGAGAACATTTACAAAACTAAATCGATTTTTGCGTGACTACATGAAGTCTCTCCCTTTAGAGAGTAAGACAGAAAGCTAATACCATTGTCTAACAATAACAAGCCATGGGACTAGCACTGGAAGTGGAAAGGATTTGGCACTAGTATGCTGTGGTGTGCTGAGCTTACCTGACACTTCGGTGAACACTACTTTCGGAATGCTTGGACCTAGGGGCCAAGGTAATTTGTCTGCAACCCATCTTATAGGATCACTGGAGGCAGTTGAATTGGAGTCCATCTAGAGGGTTAGCTAAGCTAATTGCATTAATAATGTTTTTATCTTAGAATGTGAATTAAGTGTTACATTGGTAGCAAGACAGAAACTTGTAGAGTTCAACTGAGTTGCACTGAATACTTATGGGGAATATATAAGGATTTTATCTGTTATGGTTTCTTACAGCTGTCTTGTATCCAGATTACTCTGCTAGGCCCCTACTGATTACTAATGAGGAAGTTGTTCCTAATCTGTGTAATTTCTGTTTACTTAAAATATTTTTTCTATCCCAGTTTGCTTTTCTTTAATTTTTTAGGGTATTGTTTTTCCTTACAAGAAAAGAACCTGGTCTTGCACAGACACTACTTGGTCAATTTATTCCTTGCCTTGTTCTCTTACTCATTTTCATATTGGTTTCACACAGTAGCCTGTGAACCCTTCAATAACTAGAAGGGCTAATCAGTGTTTTATTCTCATATCCAGTTTAGGGTTTGGGGTTATTGATCTTAATAAGTGGCTATTAAAATAATGG